ATGCGTGAGTGCTTGTGTGTGTATGTGTTTGTGTATGTGTGTGTGTATGTAAGTGTGTGTATGCGTTTGTGTCTGTATGCGTGTGTGTRTATGTATGCCTGTGTGTGCGTACGTGCGTGTGAAAGACGCGAAAAATTATTGAAATAGCTAACACTCCAAGGTTTCAGGGGATCTCGTAGTCGAGCAGTCTCGACTAGAGCTTTCTTACTTGTTATATTATTATTTACCATCCGGCAAAGCTACTATCCGGAACTGTTGACGACTACGCCACTATATAAATTCCACCTTTACTTCACTTTCTTCATATTTAGCATCATATTATTACATTGATGATTGACTGATATACTTCTCCACACTGCCTATTTTTCTCAACAAACTAGCATTTCTTTTATCCATCAATTCTTTATAAAACTTCAAACAACTCATGTCCGCAACATTAAATTGAACAATTAGTATTTTTTAACATTATCCACAAGTAACTTATTTCTTTCGTCTGACCACTGCGTATTCCGAAATTCGCATTGTGCGAAATTTTGCACCTGAGCTATTGACATTAACATTAGTCTACGCCCACTAGGGCCCTGGCAAATCGGATCTGAAGATATTGTGATTTTTCGAATTCTACTATATTTTAGGCACTATTGATGCTAGAGATTTGGTATATTGCTAAAGAGATGTGAATGAGAATTCTGCAGTTGGTAATACCCGACTGTAACGTTTTTATTTTTGTCATTTTTGTCAAAATGATTCTTTTATCGAAATAGTAGAAAGCCGGGACAATTTCGTGTCAGGTCATCACAGGGAATACCTCTAAAAGTGGAACATGTCCCGTAATTTCAGAACGGGTGGCAGTCCTAAATATGGGTCAAGAATATTTGGTACGAAATATACATATATTCAAGAGATAGTTACATATATTGTTTATAAAAGATATATATTTTCATCTGACAATTTAAAGGCGATGATGGCTTGCTCGCGTATAGAGCGCTGAAATGTTGAATTTCCAGCAATGATTACAATGGAACCATTTTGATTTCTGGATATTTTCTGGGCGGCCAACTGCATTGCATCCAGACGCAGTCTACGCGCTCTTTCATTGTAGCGCAGCTCCTTTTTCAGATGCACGCAAAGTTCATCACAGTTGGCGGCACCACAGCCGCACTTCTGGTGCGCCAGATAGAGGCAGCTGTGGTAATTCCAGTATTGGGCAAATTCGAGCAGACGATCGCGAAAATAGACATGCTGCAAGTCCTTGACACACATCAAATGCCGTATGCAGTTCATGTCATCCTCGTTGTCCAGCACTTGGGCGACAAGTGGCAGCGTGGGGGCAATAGCTACGCCTTGGGCTATAATATAAATGGATTTGGGACTACTTGAATCATGCACATAGTTGCCAATGGGTCCACGAAAGTTAAGCACTTGCAAGGGCTCTAAAGCTGCTAAATAATCGGACATAGGTCCACCGGGCTGTAGCTTGACTAGAATTTTGAATTCTTTTGCAACAAAATCAGTCCAGTAAGGTGAGTAGGGACGCAGTAAAGGTGCAGCATGTCCAGCTAGCTCTGCGCGCAACATTACATGATGACCCGGCGGAATGTCCAAAATACTATCATTTTCTTCATCATCCGAAGCGACGTAGACAAAATGTAGTAATCTCAATTGGTCATCACCATTGTGGACTTCATTGCTGAGCATCTTGAATCTGGCATAACTTAGGATGACATTTCGTTTGCCAGCCACCAATGCTTGTTGACTGGGCTTTGGCTGATTATCCAGAATGCAATTAGTGCATCCATTGCCACAGCAATCGGTTTCATCGACTTCGTTCTCAGGCATGAGCATTAACTAGAGATGGGCGATATTGCACGAACATTTAACAATTATATCGGACACATGTTAATTTTAGCTAATTTTGAAACTCATTGGATGCGAACAATAAAATGTGTAATTAAAAA